ATTTCAGTTTTAGCTGCCATTTGTTATAGGATGTTTACATTTTGCTCTTGGAAATGAAATTAAATGAATTGATTTATACGGGAAACAATGTTTTAAGATAAATAACTGCCGTGACCTGGACCGTTGAAATACGATGTACCACGCCTTTTTCAATATTTATAGAAAACACCCGTAAATTTTAAAGTTATTAAGTGAAGATGCTGGAAAATCGTTATTCACGTATTTTTTATAAAATAATTAAAGGGCCGCCATATTTTTCACATTATGTTCATAAAAATATAAAGAAATAATGTCAAAGATTATGGTATAAACATGGCAACTCCATTTGTGAAAAAGTGCTATCAAAATGTCACAAATCTTTCTATTAAATCAAAATTGCTTTCGCCTCGGACGTTTTTTTAATTTTAAAAAGCATAAAATATTAAAAGGAAAAAAAATATCTTTTGCAGATTTTTACCAAAATGTTTTATTAGGGTCATGCTTTCACAAATTTTTTTTAAAAAAATAGAGATAATTCGATCATTTCATTCTTGAAATTTATCTTGGAAAAACAACACATTTGTGTGGTCATTATTATATATTAATAATTTAGATGTTATATTTTGATCTGAAATTAGGTCATTGCGATACTTTAAAACTTAAGTGTTATGCTAGAAAATATCGAATTTATAAAAGTATAAATGTTTTACACCGCAACAAAGCGTTGCACTTTCAAAACACTTACCCGGAATGGGTTAAGATACAATGCAATGTGAAAAATTTTATTAGTTAAGGTGGACTAATTATATCAATTCTAATTATATCAATTAATATCGCAAAAAATAAATGCAACTTCGTAATTCCAAATTAAATGTAAAAACACTAAAAACGCAAGAGTTAAAATCAAGCGATGCTATGAACTAAATCTAACACGAAAACAAAATATATAAACAAGAAAACAAACAAAAGTAGTCACTACTTGCACTTCAAAAACGTAAAACCAAAATTTACTTTAAGAATTAGGGGTTCGTCTAACGAAAATATAAGGTACGCGTAATCAATGCAATTAATAAAAAATATTTACAAGCAATTATTTTAACAAACATTAACTAAAGCTTATAGACAAGAGGACCAGGGATTGAAAAATGACGTATGAGTTATGCAGGGTGTTTGGTAACAGCCTCCCCTTATATAATTTTTTTTTTAAAAAAAACCTGTCAAAAATGAAGTAAAAAAGAATGTACAGTGCGCCAAAAAAACGGACCACCCCGAATAACTTTTGATCTAATGATCGATTATCCCCAATCTTATCAAGATTTAAGGGGATGACCTCGGATGTACAAATTTTAGTGCAGACGATATATTAAGTTACGAAATCAGGCACAGAGCGTACCACCAAAATTTAGGGGGTAGCCGCAATCTGGAAAATATGGTCTCCATAGTTTGGTCAGGAGAGCACGTTTGAACCCATTGCTGTTCATTTTACTTTTTGCGTATTTCTCAATATCTAAAGAGCTTTTTGAAGCAGTGAACTGGATCATTTTTACACAAAATTGTAAAATTCGTTCATCCAAAGACTTTTTTTTTTAACTGCAGGTACTGAACTTTCGTTCTTCCCTCGGAAGATGCCGGAAGTGTTGCTCATTTATCGTTACCCAGTGAGCACCTGTGAACCTAAGTCACGGAGGCGAGCAACATTACCCACGCCACACTGCCACAAATAACCGTTAATAGGGTGGGCCACATTCACACATCACACACAACTGAGGACTACACATAATCCAAAGATAATGTGTTGTTCATCCAAAGATAATCCCATGCAAATAATAAATTTTAGCAAATATTTATTACTTTCTATTATTTTATTAAATAATAGTCGAAAAAATTTGAATTGTAAGGCATATAATTTTTTACGTCACTTTAAATATGTAATTTTGCAGGGGGAAAAAATTGAGCGAAATCGAAATTTTAAATATCTTCTTTGAAATTCGATTTCTCAGGA